AAATTCAACTTACCTTTATAATTCAAGTACTCAATTTTAATGACCGGTTAGGAAATAGCTTTTTATTTTAAACTGTGAACACTGTATGGTATAAAAATGCAAAAGAGAAGAAACACGTGTGTTCTAATAATTTCAGCTCATAGTGGATAAACTATGCTTTTAGCAATACTTTTGCTTTTCCCCATTAACTATACGTGCATAAGAGGTTACCAATAATAAAGAACTATGTGAACATGTATGAGTAGACCTTGCATGAAAAATTTGTGAAGCAAAAGCCTCTTTTCAATTATGCTTGACACAGGCCTTTAAATCTAGTAACACTCTAATCAAGTTTGTTTTGAAACACGTATTTCATTTCTTTATGCCCTTCCTTCAACAGGAAGAGAATCCACAGAACCTATGTTTCTAATGAAAAAACAATTCAAATACATGTATATTTCTACATACGCACATCTATATACATATAGATAGATGGAGAGAATAATGTACATACTATGCTAAACCATTCACAATGATGTCATGTGGCTACTGATTATAGCAATATCAATTATTACTATGTATGATATGCTGTGCTAGATATATTACATATGTTATCATGTGGAAATCTAGGCCTGGTATTTTCATAACCATATAACAAAAGTATTAAGTATGAAAAAGGTTAAATAATATGCCCAAGATTCCAGCTAATAAACCGTGAAACAGGGATTATAATTCACCCAGCTCTGTCTGGTTCCAGCATTAACACATAATAAATGCCTTATTTATGTTGAGGCATGTTCAGAATCATTGTGATTTTTTTCATTGACTTAAGTTAGTTAGCTAAGGTAAAGAGCATTATAGTGACTTTTAATATGTCTCTAAAGAGTTCCCCAAACTTACTCAAATACTAAAAGTGTCAGTACATATGATTGGATAGTCATGCTACCTCCCTAGCACAGTAGTGTAAAGATTCTGTTACAAATGTTAATTATATCTTATGTACCTTTAAAAAATAAAAGGTAAAATTACAGGCAGTTTTTCTTTCATCAACTTCTAAATTTAAATATTTCAATCAGTTTAATAATTCACCCTCTTCATCCTCTTCCTCCTACCTCAGGACACTCAGTCTCAAAAAAGATTATTACTGCTGGGGTTTCATAGATGGTTGTATTCAAAGACTCTCATGGCAAAGGAAAAAGTCTAACTAATATTAAAGCACATCTTAAAAGTATACAGTTAGACAATTTTCTTGATCTCTGAAGTAGAAACTAACTTCTAGAATACCTGTATCAGTTCATGCAATACACGTTAACTGGATGCCCACTGTTTGCCACTTGGGTGAGAGCAGAAAAGTCTCATTAAACAACTTCATATAAAACTCCAACTCCTTTGGCAGATATCATATGGTAACACGTAACACTGACCTCTGTGCAAGACATTCACATTATAAGGATATTATGGGACACATAAAACGTTCAGTGTGAGATCCTCTGAGCTATTCGAGCTACTTAGATATGGCATCAGTTGTTAAAACTGCCTAATTTAAAAGTAGCTGAACCTAAGAAAATTGAGTCCATTAAAAACTACATTAAAGTATAGCACTGTTCTAGCATTGCTCTAGTTCAGGTTATGTCAGTGCCTCGTGCCAATCACCTTCTTTATGAATTCCTTAAGAATTCACTCTCAGTGGAAAACTATCGTAAATCTCAGTTACAAGTATGTATCTGCTTTATAAACGAACTTGCTCCCTACATGTCTACCTAATTAAGTAAACTTAAAAAAAAAAATCTGATCAAGAGCAGGGGCATAGAACAGTGACTGGGCTCAAATATTAGGTCTGTTAGCAGTTGTGAAGCTTAAGCATTTATTTAGGCTCATTGAGCCTTACTTTTCCTTCATCTTCTCAATGGTGATAATTAATAATAACATTTTCCTTTGTAAAGTGGGGAATATCAGGGAAGCTACCAGAATTAAATGAGTCAATATTAGTAAAGTCCTTTGGACAGTGTGAGACACATACTAAAGGATACAGTTTTTTTTTCAATAAAATGTTCAAAAAAGTTTAGTAACTCCCAATTTTTAACACTACCACGATGCGCACTAACAAATACCATTCAAGATGACTCTGACCTCAAAAACCACATAGGTTACAAAGGAAATTCTCTATCTAGTGTTCAAAGTTATTGTCCAAAATATAGATATATTAACACAAATACATGTAATATATATTATATATACAATATATGGAGTATGGGGTATGTATAGACACATACTCCATATGCACACATATGTATATATGTATGCACAAACAAGCAAGCATCAATCTAGGTAGCCTAAAGTCAAAACAACTTTTATATCACTTCTTAATAATGACAGTTTTCCAGTATAACACTTTTGAAAACGATGGAAAATAACCCATTGTACCAAATGTTGAGAAGGACATGATAATGTAATTTGGATATGAGATTTAGAAAGGTTCATTTATCTTTCCTATATATTATGTAGTTTGCCAGATAAAATCTTTTACTTCTACTTTTTGATAAGTGTTATCATCTCTGAAATGACTTATTGATAGATCAATGATATTTAAGTGTAGTTATTAACATATTGCTTTAAGTGCACTTGTCCTACAAAGGTTAGGATAACATCGTAACTCTCAGGAATAAGCACCGATATATAGGGTGAGTAAAATTGTTAGCAATTTAATGAGATTCCAGAAAAATTTTGTACTTTTCCTGGTTTTAAACAATTCACATTAAATTCACAGAAAACTTAAAATGTGTGATTTTTCTAAATAATAACAATTTAGGTCATAATTAAAGTTTAACTAGTTATTTTTCTTTTGAGGTTCTACTTCCCCTCCAAACAAAGGACAGCACTTGAATGAAAACAAAATCTGTGGTTAGAATAATTAAACCCTTAACTTTATTCCACCTAAACTATTCACTTTTCTTAAAACTATTAATAACTATAATTCCATCACAGAACAATAACTTTTTTAATTGCAATAATCTTAGACTATGAAAATATTTAGCAAAAGCATTAAGAAGAAATTTAAAAATCATGCATATAAAGACCAAAAAAAGCAAATATTTACATAATTGTGATGGCACAAACTTAGTATTACTTCTCACACACTATTCCCAGAAATTGTAGCATCATTTTTTAGTACATATTCCTATCTCCACCAGCTCCCTTTACTAGAAAGTTGACTTAAGCATTATTTCATTCATGAATGAACATCCCTAAAATAAAAGATCTTGCCAGATATGTCAAAAGAGTCAAAGAAAATTCTCCTCCAATTTTCTAAAAAATCCTAAATAACCATTTAACTTGCTCATTTACATATAATTGCATTTCTGAGAGATGCTACTGTTTCTGAGATTATAAAAATCAAGTGATGAGAAAAGTAAGGAGCAAAATATTTGTTGTGCTCTATGAATTCAAGTTTGCTTTTTCAGTGCAACAGGAACATTTGCATTTACTCATAAATGAATACTAATGACACGCAGATCTGGCACTGCTCCATGGAAATCACACACAGAAAGCTGGAACAGAGTACAGATAGTTATATTTCTCCAAAGGATTCAGACAAAGAGCAAGAAGATAAAAGTCAACATCAGTTCTCTGAAGTTGTCATATCTAAATGATTTGGTGCCTTAAGAATAATGGAATTTTTGGGAAAGCCAAGTTAGCTAGTTAACATGACTTCTGAGTCAACAACTCTTTGCTGACCAGCTACTTTGGAGAAGATGCTGCTTCCCTAAGTAAGCCAAGGCTCTGCAGTTCTTTTCACAGTGTAGGAGTAAACAGCCTGCTTCTACCCAAAATCCTTTCCTGTTGTTTAAAATAACACCCAGCTCAGCTTTGCATATTATGTGTGCTGGTGTACTCAATAAATACTTTTTGAATGAGTGAAAATTCAGTGAGTAAGAAGGTTATTCATTCAAAAACATCTGTGTAAGCCTGCAAAATGGTAAGGACAATGATGCAAACATAATCAACACACTGTGAGCAGCACCTTTTCACAAAGATGCCAAAGAAGGCAACATCAAATATCAAAATTTAAAGATGATATCTGGCTTAACCTAGAAACCATGATTCTAGTATTTATGAAACTCAGATTGACTGCCATGCTCATAATTTCCCGTATAATCTGCTTCAGGTATGTGCTTGAAAATAATATTTTACATATCAAGTCTACATATTCAACTACTTGAGAAACAAATATTTTTAAATAGCCCAGAATAACTTGGAAGAGGCCAGAGCACTTTTCATTTTCACTGTTAATATTCCATTCATAGAGGGAGTAAAATTTAAGCAACAGTTTCCTTCCATTATCATGTTTCTTATACTATTTTCTTGCACCTACATCAGTTTACTGGTGAATAACTTCATAGTCCTAAATTAAGGAAGCCTAACCTGCTGCCTTTTCAGTCACTTTAAGAAAGAATTATTTGTAAACAAATACAGGGAAAAAATAAGTAGTATTTTTATTTCCCCTTTTAAGAACTTCACTAGAGGCAAACCACTAAGGTAACTTATTTTATTATTTTTCCTCTGCAACATAGTATATTGTTTGATACCAACACAAACATTTTGAAGTCATTTTTGATACCCATTTTGTTGAAATGGCCTCAACATATTTGAATTAAATTGTAATGCGGAAACATTTCTCTAAAGTCCTGAAACATGTCAAAAGTACTGTGAAAACCTTTCAGAGGCACGAGCTTTATAGTATTTGCAGAAAATCAGGTCCGAAAGGAGCACTGTACAGAAAGGACACCCATCAACGCCTGCTCCCACCCCGGGGCGACCCTGCAAGCTATTTATCAGACTAAGTTTACATAAATCATAGAAGAGTTACAGTGCAATTAAATGTATCCACGAAGTAATATGATATAAAGCACTTTGCAAATATTAAACCTCCCCTTAAGGGATCAATGTCTTCCAAGAAGCTAGTATATGGGGCTGACTGGAGAGGGAAGAAGAGAGAGCAGAGCAGAGAGAGACCGACCCACCGGACGAGGACCGAGACGACCACGGGTCTGGGCAGCAGCTCCCTCGGGTGGGCGCCCCGAAATAAATACTCGAGGAGGGAAGCCGGAAAGCGGAGCCCACCAAGGTGAGGAGACTCCGGAGTTGTGGCGGAGGCTTGCTCGCTGTGCACCTGGAATCGCCAGGTAGAAGTATCTACATCAGGCAGGGGGCTCCTTCCCTGCTTCCCAGTATCAAGGTGATCACCCAAGTCCCAGGAGCTGGAGTCTCCGTAGCCACAGCGACCTCGCGCACCTCTTAGTAATAACAATATGACCAGCCCCTCGATTGCACCCGCCTCCAGTGCAAGAGGGGCGGGGGAGGGAGGAAGAGGGAGGTTTAGTGAATGGGGGAGGCGAGTGGGCGGGGACCCAAGCTGCGAGGGGTGGGGGCCACGCGAGCGGAGGATGCACCCCACCTTCAAGTTAACTGAGTCTCTGCCTGCCCTCTGCCTGCCCTCGGCTTGGGCTTCCCACCTCCCCATTCCCCCAAAGTCTAGTGGCGCTCCCAGCCACAGCCCCTCAGCCACCGCGGGAAGTGGCGGCGCGCAAGCCCCCAAACTCTGCCGCGCGGAGCGTTCCCCCACTGCTTCAGAGAGAGCCCAGCGCGCGGCGCCCGGCTCGGGGTGAGAGCCGGACTGACACCCACGACTCCTAAAATTTACCCCGGGGAATGGCTCTTGCCGTTTCCCGTCTCGAGCCCCAAAAACGAACGTCTCAAAAGTCTCCCCCAGGCAGTGCCCCGACGTACCGCGCCCCAAAAAGTACGCTGTCGGCATCACAAGGATGTCTTCCCTCGGCCATTCCCCCCTTGGCAATTACCCCTAAATCTACGCGGTTTCAGCCCGCTGTGCTCCAACCCCTCCCGGCGCGAAGCGGGCAGCGCGCCCAGCTCACCAAGGTCCCCGGCGGCAGAGGCGCAGTCGCGAGCCCAGGGTGCGGGGGCCGGCGGCGGGTCGCGCGGGGCCACCCGGCGGCTCCTGCAGTGCCGGCGGCAGTTGATCCAGTAGTTTCGGGTGCCCGGGCTCCTGCAAGCCTAGAGCGAGTCGGCGTGAATGGGAGCGAGCTGGCTCGGAGGTGCGTGCGCGCCGGTGAGTAAGAAGCAGGCGGGCCTCACACGCAGGCGGCTGCAACGAGGTCCGGGGCGGGGAGCTGGGAGTGGGCGGGGGCCGGCGAGAAGTAGTGGAGTTTAGGGCGCGTTTCCTGCACTTCCCGAGAGGCTGGTGCCAGGTGCGGCAGGGCGCGCTCCCGCGGCGCGGGCACGGCACAGGCGGCCGCCAGAGCCCGAGTCCGCGCAGTGCCGGGGCCCGCAGCCGCTCTGCAGGAGGAGGTGCGCATCCTCCTCCCTCCTCGCCCCTCGCCGGCACCCGTGCGGCCGCGGACCCTCGGCGCCGCGGGGAGAGCCTCCGGCGACCAGTATGACAGCTCCAGGGGCAGCCTGCTCCCTCCCGTTCCGCTAAATGAGCAACAGTCTGTGGGGCTGGGATCTTCCCTTCCTGGGTCTTGGAGCTGCCAGTGCCAAGCTGTGAGGGCGCCCCGCTCCCGGCGGCTGGCGCTGTCACGGCCGCCGCCCGGCCCCCGGCGCGCCCGAGCCGCCAGCTGCCTCCCGGAGACGTGCCCAGCTGTGTGCGCGTGTGTGTGTGTCTAAGCGAATCTCTTCCCCTCCATCACTCGGGCGCGCGGGAGGGACCGGGTCCCCCGCGACCAGCTGCAGAGTGGCTGCCAGTCCACACCCTCCCAGCGCTTTCCCCACCCACCCCGCCCCTGCTCCTCCTCGCTCTCTCCCCGCTCCCCAGCTCCTCCTCCAGCAGCCGCTCTCGAGCTCCCGAAGGCGGTGGGGAAACCGCAGCGAAAAGGGCGGAGGGGAAGGGTGGGGAAAGACGCGCAGGTGTCTTCCGCCGAGACCGGGGCGCTCGTACCCGAGCTTGCTGCAGGGGGAGGGCAGGGCCTTAGGCGGAGAAAGAGGAGGAGAGGACCGAGCCCCTGCGCGTTCCACCCAGGCGTGGGAGCCACGGACGGGCGGCTTGGTGGGGCGGCTGGGTGCGCACGCAGGGCTCCCTGGCGGACCGAGGTAGCAGCGTGGGGACCCCGGGAAGTGACCAGAGTGGCAGAACGCGTGGACTGTGAGGTCGGAGGGAGTCAATTTCCAAGAGCCAAGACCGGTCTCCCAGGGGTGAGAGGAGCTTAGAGCCCGAGCTTGGGGTGCACAGGTTTCAAGGGAACGCGTGTGTGACTCTCAGCGTATCCGCCTGGACAGCTGGAGGCGAGTCCGGGGTTGACGGCTGTTCTCAGAATGCTGTGTGCAAGCGGAGTCACAGGGGGCGATCACCGCCTAGCTGGGAAGCGGAGCTCTGCGCAGAGCCTTCTTCCAGATTCCAAATCCCCAAACCCAGGGGCCCCCTCGCCTTTCCAGCTCAGTCTAGATCCCTCCTATCCCTGTTCTCAACAAACCAGGGGGCGAGGGAATTCTATGAGCTATTTCCCGTGCTCTTTGCTTGATCGAAAGGAGTCCACCTGGTCGAAGTCTGATGTGTTCCTGCTTTATTCCTGACTCTAGTCCACTCCCTCAAGATCTAGTCTCATCCAACCGAAATTTCCACGGAAAACTATCTTCCTCGTTGAAAAGTTTCTCCCTCGGTAGTTTTCTTAAAAAAAAAAAAAAAAAAAAAAAAAGCTTTTTTTTTTTTTTTTCTTTCAGGTATTACATCTCTTGCTAATTCCATAGTACAAATGCAGTACACCTAAGCAGAAAATCACAACATTATTGCTTATATGACCTGTCTGTTTTCAAATGCCAGTCAGTGCAAAATTGAGTCAACCTGAGGTGGAAGGAAAGAATCAGTCCATTTAACTAGAGGTCTATTAGAGAGATCACTGGTAACAACACTTAGAAGAATTGAGGTTTCTTCAACTTCCGTTCCTTTTTACTATGATAATTTCATTGTTAATTTAGGCAATCTGAATATGAAAGGTCGGATGCAATTCACAAGTCACTCTCGATCAAGATTCTTATTCAACAGCCAACCCCACCCCCTTCCCCAGGCCCACTCTCTGCATCCCCTTCGAAGGCCAGGAGCTCAGATCTCAAACTGCACTTTTAAAATTTCAGGATACAGTCTGGATGACAAAACTGATCAGTTCTAGAAAGAAATGACTTAAATGTAAATAAACTTATTTACCCACTACTCAGACAAAATCATAAGCTCAGCAGTAACATCAAAATGTATATTGTTTAATATATTGAGCAGGAGGAAAGATGGCTGTTTGCCAGATCTGTGATCCATTAACCTCTTTAGCTCATTGTTGGCAACAATAGCATACAATCACTTCTTATGTTTGAAAGACAAGGGATTGTTTTTTCCCATCTCAAAATCACAATGCCACATTATAGTCTAAAAGAAACCTCAAACAATAAAAGTAATATGAAAGGAAGAAACACAATTTGCTTTTTTCTGAGCAAATGTTGCTGTTCTGTTTTCCTTGAGGGGAAAATGCTGATAAGCAATAAAGTCCACAAAGACATGACAATAGATTTTGAAGAATGCATCTCTCCATCTATCTGTCCTTTCAGTGAGTAAACTTTATTTAAAATGTTTATTTACATTATCTTTCTATTTGTATTTATTCCTTCTTTTGTGCTAGTAAGATTACTGAGAAGGACGATGGGGTGAGATGAATCTGGTTTCTCATAATTCTGTCTTGCTCTAGGTTTATGTCTGGCAGGAGAGAAGCATTCTGCAGCCTGTGCTTTCTCAGCAATCCTAACTTCTCCTGGGAGGATCCTAAGCTCTGTTACTGATGGACTGCAAGATTTTCATGATGATTTTGCCTAGCTTGTACAGATCACACATGGGGCTGAGAGCAGGTACAGACCCAGGAACTGAGAAGCAAAGTTCTACAAACGATTTCTGCCTCACCTAGGGCTGGAAAATTAGTTCATAGTAATTGAGCTTTGTATGTGTGCTTCTTTTCAGCTCCTATAAATGACCTTACTTTCCTGCAAGGTGAAAAGCAGTGGTGGGTGGGTGGGGTCTAATATTTTTAGTGGAACCATTTTGGGATTGTAATAAAATAAACAAAATGAAATGCCACTTTGGTCATCTAAAAAAAATCCTTTTTAGATGCAAGTTTAAGAAGTCAAAGATTCATTGATTTGATTTAGTCACCAAAATCAGAGTATGAAGTAATGAAAACATTTAGTTAGACTGTTCACTTGGTTAAAAAAAAAAAAAAAAACTTCATTTTTCTCTGAACATCATCACACTCTCCTGTCTCATAAATATGCAGCCATTAAATATTGTTTAGCTTATAGTTTCAAACGGAGGCTGTCCTCTCAGTAAAGTATGGATATGTTTGTCTTTATTAGGAAATAGGAGGGCAGCTGACTTATTTTCCAAACTCTATCTTTATTTTTTTTTTAACTAACCAATTACTGACATCTAGATTCAATTGATTTAGCAACTATTCATTGAAAGAATCACTCTATATGCCAGCTACCAAAACCCAAAAGATTAATAAAAGAAGGTTCTGCTTTCACGGGGTGAGTGCTGTTATCACTAGGGCTATGCATTACGGGATTGACTGGGGGAACTTCACATATCTGGAAATGAACCCCTGCACCTACATCTCCACCATCCATCACAATATCTGATTTACTAGTGTTGTGGTTTTTGGAGTCTGTGGGTTTGGAGTGTGGGGTCATGGGGTTCACTCTGGGAAAGGTTTCTCCAGAGCTCCCCTTTCAGCGACACGCAGCGAGTTTCCCAGGTGAGTTTCTCCAAGAGACAGAGACAGTAGTTATATTTAAAGAACAGGTTTATTAGGGAAGGAATAAAAGAGTTAGACACTTGCATAGACACAAGCAGGCAGGAAGAGCTGCTCCAGAAGGGACAGGTTTGCTGAGAGAGGCCTGCATGGCTGCAGGCAGGGGCCCTTGAGGAGAGCTGCCTCTGCTGAGGGAGGTCAGTGAGAAGCCCCAGCCTGATACAGGTCACGGGCAGGCATGAAGTCTGCTGCTCTGCAGAGGGGGAGAGTTGGTAAAAAGAAGCACCTGCATAGTCACCGGAATGCTGCCCCAGCCTGTGCAGACACTGAACTGATATAGGCTTCTTCTATTCGAAAGGGGCTCACTCCTTGTGAGTCCTTGAGCCCTCAGTTATTTGTTAATTTTGGATAACTATGTAGAATTTGAAAGGGGCCAGAGATTCTATGATGGGCTCAATCTTCGTATCTTTAACTTTGGATGCGCCCTCAGATACCTGCTTGGATGTTAT